GATATGACAAAAATAGAATTATCTTGAGCACTTTGAAAATGTACTCAGCAGATTCAGTTTCAAGTCTTTGTTTGGCACTGTTAGCAGGAATGCTACATAGATTATCTCATATTAGAGGCCCAGTGCATGAAATTTGTGCACGGGGTGGGGGGGATCCCTCAGCCCGGCCTGCGCCCTCTCGCAGTCTGGGAGTCCTTGGGGGATGTCTGACTAACGGCCTAAGCTGCCATGGAGGCAGGAGAGGCTCCCGCCACCCAACAGTTTTATGAGTAGTCACTTTATTCCCATTTTACAAAGGAGAAAATTGAGGCTAAGAGCTATTACAAGGTTACTAGAGGCCTGGTGCATGACATTTGTGCACTGGGGGGTGGGGAAGGGCGTCACTCAGCCCAGCCTGCGCCCTGTGAGAGATGTGCGCCCTGTGGGGGATGTCCTTAGCACTGCCATGGAGGTGGGAGAGACTCCCGCCACTGCCACTGCACTCGCCAGCCATGAGTCCGGCTTTTGGCTGAGTGGCGATTACCCTGTGGGAGTGCACTGGCCACCAGGGGTCAGCTCCTGCATTGAGCATCTGCCCCCTGGTGGTCAGTGCGCATCATAGTGACCTGTCTTTCCACTGTTTGATTTGCATATTAGCCTTTTATTACATAGGATACTGCTGGTAGGCAGTAGTAGCCTTGATGTTTCAGTCCATTGGGGCTGCTGTAACAAAATATCATAGACTGAGTAACTTATTAAACAACAGGAGTTTATTTGTCACAGTTTTGGAAGCTGAGAAGTCCATGATCAAGGTGCCAGCATGGTCACATTCTGGTGATGGCCTTCTTCCTGCTTCATAGCAGGTGTCTTTTTGTCGTGCCCTCATGTGGAAGGGATAAGGGAGCTCTGTGGGGTCTCTTTTATAAGAACTCTAATCATTCCTGAAGGTTCCACCCTCATGACCTAAGCACCCCCCACCAAAGGCCTCTCCTAATACTGTTACCTTTGGGGGTTAGGATTCAATATGTGAATTTGGAGGGACACATTCGGACTATAGCAGTTGGGCTGCAGACTTTGAACTCTAAACTGCTAAACCATTTTTCCGCTTAGGTGTGGGCACTTCCTTTGTCCCCAGAACGGCCCTACCATCCTCTCCCATTCACTCTTGATCAGAAAGTGACGTTTCCTTCTTCTGAACTCAGGCCCCACAGTCCATGCCATTTCTCTAAACCTTTGGTTTCGTATTGTAGCTCGTTCTGCATGTGATGTGTGATGGTCTGTCCTCTTCATCATGAGCTCATAGAAGCAGTGACCATGGTGCCTTCCTCCCGGCCAACTACCAGGACCTTACAGGGTGATGTCCCCAAGGTGGCCCATCACTGAACGGTTGTCGAATTAGCACCTGGAGTTTGTGTTCATCAGGTAGCACAGTCTCCACAGGACAACAGCTTTAATTCAGGGGACTGAGGACAGTGGGAAGGGAAGTGCCTAAGTAAGATGGTCTGTCTTGCTTGAGTAACTTGGCTCCAATACTTGGCGGTGCTAAGTGCTAATGTGGGTTTAAATTGCCGGTGTTTATCCCAGGAAGGAAGGCATGGTGCCTGTCAATTATAGGTTCATTTTCCCTGAAATATTAACCATTGCATTTTCTTGTTTTGTACTTTAAATGTTAGAAATGTGAAATAAAGCTATGGGGAACAGAGAAAAATGAATCCACACCAATTCTACTTTCCTGTGTTATGAATCTGTTTTATTTTGCCCACATCTGGTGCTTTGTATTAAAAACAATTTGATAGTTGGGTGGATGGTGGATGTGAATCTCTTTAATTTAAAAAAGAAGCCTTTGGGCCCACACCAACATAATTATGATCTCCAAACAAAAATGGAAGATCCCCTTACTGTATTACCATGAATATTTATGCCAAAGGCAGTACATTATGTTTAGCATTTTCCAGAACATTTTATTTGGTTGGAGTAAAAGTAATTGCACTACTATTGGATAGAATAACATGATTTTTGGAGGATAATCTCTTTCTCACAGCGCAAAATTTCATTTGCTTCAGAAATTTTTATGGGAAACAGCCAAGTTCTTGGTTACATGTCTAATGAATCAGGATTCTGAAATGTCAAAGGTATTTACAAACATAAAATTTCTTTAAGGAAATATTTTTGTGGTCTCTTTGTTTTAAAAATTGTATTTACATTTCATTCATTTATTTTGGCTTTTTCCATTAAAAAATGGAGCTCTTTATTCTTAAGACGTTGCCCATAATGACATTCAGTATTCCTCATATACCATAGAGCATCTTATGTATTAATTGTGTGAAGAATATGTTTATAGAAATTCTTTTCAGAGAATCTTCCTTAAAATGTGTATGAAGAAATGGGGTTCTAAATCAGACACCACATAAGTCAACACTTCCTTTAGCAACTGTAAGTGGTGTAGACTCTGCCTAATGTACTCTGGTCATTTTTTTTTTTTTAAGCTCAGATTTCTTTCCAAAGGGCACAAGGATCAGCCACAAACTAAATTTCAGGCCGTGGGAAAGGAGGAAAGTGTGCAAAAGATTGGAGGGCAGGGTCTTCCGCTGAAAGAGGAGGCTGCAAAGACACATGGGGCTCTGGGGCTGCTTCCGGTTGGACAGGGCAGTGCTTCAGAGGCAGGGGGGTCGCCAGGCTTCCCTGTGCAGGCTGAGCCTTTGGCCCTAATTGGCCGACAGTGAGTGAGTGAGTGGACACTGGGAAATCCAGGGGATCAAGACTCTTTGCTAGAAAAGAGGCCTGTGTAATAAATATACTGTATATGGATGTGTTGTAGGTGCATTTGTTTATGGGACGTGTAACATGGGTTCTGCCGGTGCCAGATCTGGGGGAAATTGGAGAGTCATTTTCTATACTCTCTCCAGGAAGCTTCTTTCCCTCCGCCTGGCCACTGGCCATAGTGTCTTAGGGCAGAGTGTCCAGTAGTGGGGTACTCCCCCTGATTACAAGGACAGAGAGAGACTCCCGTAAATAGCACCCCGTTGCTGGGATTGAGGCAGCCAATGAATGTCTTTTCCTCTTCGCGTTTGTAGAGGCCCTGTTCCCTCTAGCACCGCGTATAGCCTGAATTTGTATCCTGGAGGAGAGCGTGGTTTTCCTTTGTTCCTGTTTCCTTTCCACATGTCAGTTGCGTCGGCTGTTGGAGAAGCTGATGAACCGCTGTCCCCGGGGCACTGAGCAGCCTGAATTAGCAGAGCGGAGTCTGTATGACCAACTGACAAAGGATCCTTTTTTTTTTTTTAAGGGGGAGAGCTAAACATCCCATTTATTCTGGTATAAAATAATTTTAATATCTTATCCAATTTGGAGGTGGAATACTACTATTTAAGTGGTGGAATACTACTCTTAAGTGGTGGGAGAAAAAAGAAGTAATTTTTTTTTCACTTTTCTCGTACTAATAACATTCCTAGCCTACTTTTTCAGATTGTTTTTCATTCAGTAATTGCAGACTCTCATTGCACTCACTTTGCAAACAGGATGTTTCTGCAAGCTGTGAAGATTGTATATTCATCACTTCTCTACTTCTGTGGGACTGCCGTGTGCCTTGTGATGTGCACAGCCTGTCATCTTCAGATTCAGTGGGCATTTGTCGGTTGCACAGGAGAAACAGAACCACATGACTTTGGTATTGGCAGGAAGCTCACCTCGTGCTCCTCTGCTGCACGGCGCTGCATGCCTAGCAGACGTGCCTGGTGGATCCTCCTTGAATGTGAAAAGTGACTGGGCCCGCACCCTTCTCAGGGCTCTTCACTGACTTTTGGGTTGTTGCTGCCGCCAGAAAGGTCTTCTTTACCTTCAGATACAATCTACGCCTCCCTGATTCCATTTACTATCTCCTGGTTCAGCCATTGGAACTACCTAAAATACATGGTCCTTTATCTGTAGGCCTACTGATTAATTCTGATTTTTATTTGACATGTACATTTCTGATTTTTTTTTTTTTAAAGAAAAGTGGGTTTGTCTTTCATTTGGAATTGATAAGTTGATCTTTTAAAATTTTAAAAAGTAACAGTGTTTTCAGGGACTATCTGGTGCTCTATTTCTGCTACTTTCGTTCCTCTCTCATTGCTGCCCAAGTGTTTTCTCTGCACGGAAACCTTACCAAGATGCTATTGCCCCAAAGAGAAAAGCAGTAATTGCTCAAAGGCTCATGGTTGGCCTAATCTGGGGGTGAGGCACCTTTTTTCTGCCAAGGGCCATTTGGATATTTATAACATCATTTGCGGGCCACACCAAATTATCAACTTAAAAATTAGCCTGCGATATTTGATCAAACAGTTAATTAACTCACCCTAGAGCAGTGATGGCGAACCTATGACACGCGTGTCAGAGGTGACACGCGAACTCATTTTTTTGGTTGATTTTTCTTTGTTAAATGGCATTTAAATATATAAAATAAATATCAAAAATATAAATCATTGTTTTACTATGGTTGCAAATATCAAAAAATTTCTATATGTGACACGGCACCAGAGTTAAGTTAGGGTTTTTCAAAATGCTGACACGCCGAGCTCAAAAGGTTCGCCATCACTGCCCTAGAGCCTTGGCAGGACCAAATGATTCCTTGGGTCTTATAAGGCCCTCAGCCAGACGTTCCCCACCCCTGACCTAAGCAATGGCAGGGGTTTATCAGGAAGATGACCAACTTGTGCTGCTCTGGAGGTCCCTAACTGACTGGTTAAAGATTCCATTTCTGGGGGAGCTGAAACTGTAATTGAGTTAAGTCTCCATTTGATGGGCCTAGCTTAAACGACTCCATTTTGGCCCTTGAATTATCTTTAAACACACTGAAGTATGTATTTAAAAATAGTTAAAGTGGTAAATTTTATGTTACACATATTCTATCACAATAAAAAAGAACATTCTTATGTACGTGTCTCACATTGAAGGTGAAAGATGTTCATCAATACAAAAATCTAAATCCTAAGGGACCAACCAGATGGAGTGAGCAGAACACGCTGGCATCCATATGTTGCTTCATGTTTCCTTTCTTCAACCAGATACGGTTCTCATTTCCTCATGTGAAATTTATTTATTTTCACAGGAAGGAAAAGTTGATGCGATGCTCTCAATGCCGAGTTGCCAAATACTGTGGTGCTAAGTGTCAGGTAAGGATGTTCAGCCGTAAGTGAACCTTCAAGTTCTCGAACCTCAGTTTGTCCTCCGTTATGCCTGTTGGCCTATTTCTGTTTCTTCGCAATCTTTGCCTTATTTTCTTTTAGTTTAAAAATACCGTATGCCTATGGTAAA